AAATGTGGCAAATCCCGTGTGTTTTTGGACCCTGACCCCGCGGATCTGCGTGAGGGGTGGCACCGAATTTCGAAAATGTGGCAAATCCCGTGTGTTTTTGGACCCTGACCCCGCGGATCTGCGTGAGGGGTGGCACCGAATTTCAGAAATGTGGCAAATCACATGTGTTTTTGGACCCTGACCCCGCGGATCTGCGTGAGGGGTGGCACCGAATTTCAGAAATGTGGCAAATCACATGTGTTTTTGGACCCCGACCCCGCGTATCTGCGTGAGGGGTGGTACAGAATTTCAGAAATGTGGCAAATCCCTTGTGTTTTTGGACCCTGACCCCGCGGATCTGCGTGAGGGGTGGCACCGAATTTCAGAAATGTGGCAAATCCCCTGTGTTTTTGGACCCTGACCCCGCGGATCTGCGTGAGGGGTGGCACGGAATTTCAGACATGTGGCAAATCCCGCATGCGCTTTGGACCCACCCGCCGATATGCGTGAGGGGGGCCACGGAATTTCAGACATGTCGCACATCCCTTGTGTTTTGAACCCTGACCCGCCGATCTGCGTGAGGGTGCCACGGAATGTCATGATATGTGCAAGTCCGCATGTGCTTTGGACCCTACCCCGCCGCATCTGCGTGAGGGGTGCACGAATCAGAAATGTGGCAAGTCCCGCGTGTGCTTTGGACCCTGACCCCGCCGATCTGCGTGAGGGGTGCCACGGAATTTCAGAAATGTGGCAAGTCCCGCGTGCGCTTTGGACCCTGACCCCGCCGATCTGCGTGAGGGGTGCCGCCGAATTTCAGAACTGTGGCAAATCCCCGTATGTTTTTGGACCCTGACCCCGCCGATCTGCGTGAAGGGTGCCACGGAATTTCAGAAATGTGGCAAGTCCCGCGTGTGCTTTGGACCCTGACCCCGCCGATCTGCGTGAGGGGTGCCACGGAATTTTTGGCAAATCCCGCATGTGCTTTGGACCCTGACCCCGCCGATCTGCGTGAGGGGTGCCACGGAATTTCAGAAATGTGGCAAGTCCCGCGTGCGCTTTGGACCCTGACCCCGCCGATCTGCGTGAGGGGTGCCACGGAATTTCAGAAATGTGGCAAATCCCGCATGTGCTTTGGACCCTGACCCCGCCGATCTGCGTGAGGGGTGCCACGGAATTTCAGACATGTCGCACATCCCTTGTGTTTGTGAACCCTGACCCCGCCGATCTGCGTGAGGGGTGCCACGGAATTTCAGAAATGTAGCAAATCCCGCGTGTGCTTTGGACCCTGACCCCGCCGATCTGCGTGAGGGGTGCCACGGAATTTCAGAAATGTGGCAAGTCCCGCGTGTGCTTTGGACCCTGACCCCGCCGATCTGCGTGAGGGGTGCCACGGAATTTCAGAAATGTGGCAAGTCCCGCGTGCGCTTTGGACCCTGACCCCGCCGATCTGCGTGAGGGGTGCCGCCGAATTTCAGAACTGTGGCAAATCCCCGTATGTTTTTGGACCCTGACCCCGCCGATTTGCGTGAGGGGTGCCACGGAATTTCAGAAATGTGGCAAGTCCCGCGTGTGCTTTGGACCCTGACCCCGCCGATCTGCGTGAGGGGTGCCACGGAATTTCAGAAATGTGGCAAATCCCAGAAATGTGGCAAATCCCGCATGTGCTTTGGACCCTGACCCCGCCGATCTGCGTGAGGGGTGCCACCGAATTTCAGAAATGTGGCAAGTCCCGTGTGTCCCCCAAAAAAAATCTTGGCAGCGACTCCGGCCTCGGCCTTGGCGCCTCGACGCCGCACAACGGCAGCAGCACCCCTGTGGGCGCCGGCCACCCGGCAGGCTCTCGGATTGCCCAACGCCCGCTGTGGCGCCATGGGGCGACGGGCCCTCCCACAAAGACGGTGCCAGGAAACGAGCGCACCAATCGGACGGAAGCCTCTAGAGGCCTCCCCCGGGAGAGCAAGAAGGACCACCGCGACCTGGGGGGGCAGCCGACCCACGGACTCAACGACCCATATCAGCCCAGGAAGAGCCTCCCGGGCGGCATCGTTGAGGAGGCTGTAGTGACGGAGGTGAAATCCGTCCACTGAAGCAGCACTGGATGACCTGTGCGCGCGGCTGAGCTCCCTCAGATCGTCAAGCGAAAGCTGCAGCGAGGCTTCGATGATTTCAACAGGACCAACCTCGGGCCCTCGACCAGACCCCCAAAGCTTGGTGAATTCACCTCCCGCAGCCTTCAGCGAAGAGCGGGGGGATCCGCGCGGAAACAGCCGTGGCTAACAAGGGTAGTCGACGCAACCCTGAGACCAGGGTCCCGAAGAGCCATGTGGGCACGCCTGCCCCCAGGGTCCGGGCCTTCCAGAAGCCACTCTTTCCAAGAGGCCTGGCTGTCGGCGACCGCCGTGGCCTTTAGCTTGCAAAATTAAGGGCGGAACCGCAGCTAAGGTACGAGAGCATCTCGCTCGGTTACTGTATACGTGGAGCAGCAGCACAAGGTTCATAGTTTCCCTCGTTGCATCACCAGGGCGTGTCTGGGGGGCCATCGGTCCGTGCGCTATCTCGTCCCTGGGCGACATCCTGGATGGGCCCTGTTGGGCCAGCTCTGGAGTCGTAGCCGGCTGCCCCATGGCCACGAGTGTCATCAGGGTTTTGCAATGGCCGCCTTTGATGGGATCCGGCCTCGAGTGGGCACCGATTTCGATGCGCACATCGCTGACGCTGGCCTCTCGCGTTCGGGCACTCCGCAGCCGAAGGCCTTCACGAGAGGCTATCGCTGAAGTTCTAGGCTGCTCCTTGGGCATGGACGAGATTGGCCCGGTCAGCAGCAGCAAGCAGGTTGCCCGGCAGATCGAGCTGGAGCTCGGCGAGCTCGCGGGGCTCTCGGCGCCCGCAGTTGTCAGCCTGGGCGCGAATTGCATCACCGGTCGCGCGCCGCGCGTCCGAGGGGCCGGCAGAGGCAGATCCTGCAAGTTTCACGAGCGGCAGGCCCTTGCCAGGAGGAGAATCGGGGGAGAAAAAGATACGGACACGTGTTGTCCCCCTTCGTTTTCGGCCTTTCCTGGTCCTCCTGGGGAATCCTCGTTGTCACCGCTGGATTCGCCTCGAAATTCTGGTCAGAACGCACCCCAAGAGAGGTCCGGGGACAACACGTATCCGTATCTTTCCACCCCCCAAGAGAACGCAGCGTTTGTGCGAGCACGAGGAGGTTCTAGGCCGCAAAACTCTCAGGCTCTTTGTTGTTGGCCCTCTCGCCAGCGGCACTTCTGGTTCTGCGGTGTTCGGCATCAGTGGTACGGAGCTCCACTCCCTGCGTTCCTAGGGGCTGTCTACGATAGCTCCTAAATCGCAGCCCAGATCCTTGACCGTGATTTCTGCTCGACGGTGACCCTTCTCGGCGAGTTTCCATGTCTCCCTTGGTGCGGTATTCCAAGGAGCTTTGGCTCACCCAAGCGCGTCTATTTCCTGGTTCTCTGTCCAGTAAGCTGTTGCGCGAGGCTTGGGCCTTGGCTTTCGGAAAAAAGCAAGTGGTCTTGGGCCCCAAGGTTTCTGGGCCCCTCAATGCATTCAGAATGACGCTCTATAGGTTGGGCTGGACTATGCCTTCCTTTGCGAGTGCATCGATGACAGGGGCCACTCCATTAACCCCCTGACCCTCTCTCCTAAGTTGGTTGCTCAGTTGGCCCGCGCCGCGGTCACCAGAGGGTTGAAAAGGGACTCGGGTCCTAAGTTCGGGCTTCCCCACAGGCTCTGGTGGGGCACTCTTAGGGGAAGCTCCGTCCTCGCAAGGTCAGCCTCAAAGATAAATCCACCATGAGGGACCTGACCGGAGACGCCATCTGGACCGCCAGGAACGCCGGCCACGACGCGCTTCTTCTTTGCGCGTTGCGTGGCGAGCACGCGGGTACCATCTGGCGTCATTTCACGGCAATGCCTTGCTTGTGCTGGGCAGCGCGAGCGCATCGCCCCTCGGGAAATCATGGGCATTGCGGTGGCTCCTTCCAGCGAGCTCAACGAGCGCACCTTGTTCGAGCACGCAGCATTTCGTCATCCTGGGGATCTCTTGCCCAAGCCGTCATCTGATGGAGTGGTGCACGTCGACTGGACCGTTCCAGAAGTCATTCCTCCTGGGGCCTCAGTTCCTGTGGCGACCCTTCCTGACCGCGGGCTCTGGGGATGTGCTTTTATGGATGACAGCTATTTCAAAACCCTGCGTTCGAGCTTTCTCGCTCTGGGTGTTGCCTAGCCATGACCGTTAGCGAAGCTAACCTGCTGCGTGAAGTTACGGCTCCTGTTTGGGCCCCGCACCCGCAGACCCCCCCCAGCGGCCGAATGTGGGCCCCTCGGGGCGCTAAACTTCTCCTTGGAGGCGTGTGCGGAGTGTTTTCGCGACTGCAAGAATGTGGTAGATCTGCTTCTGCAGGGTCCTGGCCTTTTCTTGTCGCCCAAGCTCCAGTACTCGGGGCTCCTCATCCACGGCGTCTCGGGAGCTGGCCCTAGAATTCTAGCTTCACGAAAGTAGATGCCCACAAATAATGTAGACGAGGCAGGCATCTCTGCTCAGGGGAGATTCGTCAGGCGAGGCATCTACTTCGCCGACATGGGAGCGAAGCGCGAGGTCAGGTGGCACCCCTCGTCCTCTCCAGATGAACTAGAGGATGTCGATTTCAAAGTCAAAATCGCTAGGTGTGTGATGGATCTTGCGGCAGCGGTCTGGCGCTGTCGCGTGTGTATGTTATGTTAGGTTCGGCCAGTCCCTCTTGTCCAGCCGAGGGCTCGTGCCGTGGCCACAGCAGGTTCGACTCTGTCGTACTAGATCGGCTTCGATACTATGTCATTGCGCTGAAAGCCAGCGATGACTCTTAAATATTCTTTTGTCTTAGCTGCCGTGCTCATCCTCTTCGGGGTCCCAGATCCTCAAGCTTGGGGGAAGCCACGTACTCCCCCGATGGTTGCTGGCAAACGCAACTGGAAGAGGATCAGGCAAGGTAAGCACACCGACAAAGCTGGGGCCACTCTCGATCTGA